GCGTGCTAATTTAACTCCTTGGCATTATAGCGGCCCATGAGTCAACAACTGCTGAATCCTGGGATTTGGTAACATTTATTGTTTCGTTCAAAAACTTATCGAGTTGATCGAAATTAAACATCAAAACATACCGATTGAGCAGTATTTGCTGCAATTGCCGTCTGTCGGAGACGCACACAGTTTGTGTGAGTTGTTTCTAAAAAAATGTCCCTTCAGAGATAATTTTTTAACTACACATCTGTAAAAATCACCTCAAGATATTCCTGAGTATTTCCGCTTCTCATATACTGCGAATACAAGAATTTTTGATTTTTGTCTGTGAAAACAGTTCCTAAGCACTGTCGCTCTCAGTTTCGAGTTGAAGTGGCAATCATAAGCTGAGGGCCAGAAAATCCATCACCGACGAGTTTTAGTGGATTAATCAATCAGATAATTTGAAGCAAAAGGATACAAAGCCACTTTTCTGGGTTTACAACGCCCTGAGCAAAATCGTTCGGACAGTTGGTTTTAAGAAATACTGTTTGTGGAGATATTCAAATGCAACGATGCGTACGGTGGAACTGGTCTAGCTCTTCTGTTTTTTTTAGCTTCGTGTATTTTAATTATTGCGACCGCTCAGCCCTGTGCCTTCTCACCTGATAATTCCCGGGCAGTCATTTTTGCTTCATCCTATGATATATGATGTCTACCGGTTGTCAGTAATGGTCCACATAAGACATCTTTTTTTTTCATGGTCAAGAAATGTTCTACATATCGTTTATCTGAAGGAGCATTTAAGTTATTTGGACAATCAGTGTGGGCATCTCTTGTTAGAAATGAAGCTAAAAATTTTTATTGGCGATGTTACTGGGGTTGTATACCTCCAGTGTGTAAGCACTGGTTGTTCGATGTATGTGTACGATCTGTAGCTGAGTTCGCATTTTTTTTTTTAATTCATTAGAATCCCCCCTGTAACTAGCACTCTGAGAGAAAACGAGGCATTTGAGAAGTAGCCCGAGTGGTAACAACAATAACCACACGTTGGCAAAACTATCGGTGATCCTTTCTTTCGAGAGTTGCTTAAAAGCGAGCTGTTGATGAATTCATTTCTCTGGCACGAGCCAGTGCCAATTAACCATCGAAACGTTTGAATGAATAGTGGAGGGAATGGGTCTGGATCAGCAGAGTTGAACTCTCGACTTACTGCATTACAATAGTGCTCTTTCCCACTGCGCCAATTTGGATGAGTAAAAAATAAGTAAAAATAAATTTCCTCGCCAAAATTTTTACAAGGTCGTATGAGGTGCTCAGACACAGAGAATTGAATTTGAATTTGCGGGGTCACGCATGGGCGGGGAATATTCGCTCAAATTTTCAGCTTCCTAACTTTTGTGGCTCCCAAATCGAAAGTTGCTGACAAAATGCACTGATACTCACATACACACAAATGCACACAGACAGGCCTATGATAATATGCGTTTTGTGCAGCTGTTGCACAGCACAAAAAGCACTAAAAAAAAACTAGCTTCTCTGAGAGCTCCACCATCGACGATGGCTTTGTGATAAGCGAAGTGGATGAGCTGAACGGTTGTCGTGCAGTGTAAAATATGGTAATTATAGCAATACATGTATAGGAGATAATAAGTACAACAATGGGTCCCCAGAACATTGTGATCAGGTGCACTATTGTATAAATCTGTTCACCAATGAACGTGTACTGAAATTGATGTCAATAGCTTTTAAAAGAAAATGGCAGACCACGATGGAGCAGAAACCATTTTAAGTGCCAGGTAAATAAGCAAAGTGTTGTGGAAGGACTGTGTAAAATCGTCATAGATAGTTATTAGAAATTCTGTATTAAACTCAGTGAAAAAAACGGTGGTTTTCTAACGGATATTTATGCGAAAATATAAAAAACAGCCGTTTTCCAAGTTTGTTGCTGGAAACATACGAAACAGTCACCTCAACTTCATTGCTACCACTGAGGAAGTGTTGTGCACGAATTTTATGCCATATAGTTGTGCACTGAGCCCAACTGTTGAGATCTGCTGTTGTCCAGACAAACCACTGTGGCGTGGAAAAAACAGCTGCAGCGAGATACGTCAAAATGATCATTTTCTAGAATTACCAATAAATTAGTTAATTAACCCATATTTTGATTAATTTGCTTATAACGCCCAGATGGGCAAGGAGCATGAACATGATCTTACAAATAAGATGGTGACGTTCAACACACACACACACACGCACACACACGCACACACACACACACACACACACACACACACACACCGTTGAATCACCAATGGTTAAGGTTTTGCCATATGAAGTGTTTGTTTGAGGAAAACCACTGAATCTGTTTTATAAAAAATCTCAGCAAATTCTAAGCCATGCGTACAAATAGGCAACATGCCTTGGTACATCCAAGCCTATGGCTCGAGCTGGCCAGGCGCCCTCGCTTCTTCATCTCCATCATATCGAAAACTGTTTTCACTCGATCTATAGCTATGCATACAATTGCAAACGACATCGAATGATGCACAAACATCCTGCAACAGTAAGATTTTGAAGGGAAAATAATAAATAGAAACTCTCGACATTTAATTTTCCTTGAGAAACGAAGACGCTCAGAAGTAGCCCAAATAGTAGCTTATGTCAATAGCGATCAACCACTGAAAAAGCACTGAAATTTTTTTCTTCCAAAGATTGACGAGGTCCAGTTGTGGTGCTCCAAGCACAAAAACTTTAAGCTTTACGTAGGCTGGGAACATCCCCTCAAACTTCCGGCTTTCCAGCTTTTCTGGTTTCCGAAATAGCGACTTTCCCATCAAAATTTTCATGTGCTCGTGCGAGCAGCCCAGGCGTCTGCGAAGATTGGTACCACAGCCTGGGGTGGCATTTGGTCGGGGAATTCACTGCCAAAATTTTAGTGCCGGGGCTTGCTTGGTTGCCGAGCTGAAATACTCGGGCAAACGCCCGCATACACACATACATACATACACAAGCATAAGTATACACACCATGGATTGTCAC